AGAGAGAGAGAGAGAGAGAGAGAGAGAGAGAGAGAGAAAATCCGATCCGTTTCGAAGTGACGAAACTGGCCGAATAGGGCGACCCGTCTGACCGATGCCGCCCCTCCATCACTGTTTACGAATACAACGCTTTGACAAATCGAATTCCACCTCTCTCGTCGACCACGGATTTCCTCTCGAGAAAATGAGGATAACGCTTTAATCGTGAACGAATCCATTACGAACGAATTCGCGTATTTGCGTTCGGAAGTGCTCTCTGTTCCACGCGTTTCCCCGCGTTGTTGTTATTGGCAGCGAGGACAGTGACAGAGATCGAGATAATTAAAAAAAAATTTGTCGATACAGGCTTGAAAAGCCTGTCAACGTCGACACGGTGGATCGGTCGATAAAGAAGAGAGATAAACGGGAAGACGGATCGAATTCAGGTAATAAAGATCAATAATGCGCGTGTCGAGGCAGAAATAGAATGATTTCACACTGGCGGTGGATTGAATTAAAGTATATGGATTAATGAATTTGTTCGATCGAGAGGCTTTACGTCAATAGGCTGTAAAACCATCGTCGTTCCATCGTCGAACTTTGTCACTGTCCAATAATAACAACGAGCGAGACAGAATTGAGCGGCTTAATTCCGTTGAAAAAGTTAAAAATTTCGAGTAAAGTTACTTTAAGCGATATTAATTATCGAAACGCTTAAAAAATAACATTTACTTCTCGTAGTTATTACAGTCGATCCGCTTTTTATATATAACCTCGATCGTTTCTCATTACGATTATTTGCAATTATTATTATTGCTTCGAACAAAAAATTATCGAAGTAACTTTATTCGTAACGTAACGGTAGAAGAGTGAGAGACATTTTGTCTATCTTTGCTCCTCGTCTTTGCTTCGTGATTTCGATGATTTAGTGACACGAAAAATTTGTTAACCGTCTTCCTTTCAATTATCGAAAATTAACAAAGGGGAACAGTCGAGAAAAATTAAGCAATAAAGTTTATGACCGTTTCGTTTCCCGCGTCGTGTGAAAATATTTGCGGCCACGCTTTATGTGAACTCGAACCGATGGCTCGATAAACACGGGAGAGATTCGCTCGAAACGTAAATTGACTTGGCTCCAGCCGATTAATCATTTAAACAAACAAGAGAGAAACTGTTTTCGATACGCGTCCGCGTATTTTGGAAACGGATTGGTTATTTTCTGGTCGACGAGCGACG